AAAAATAATCAAATTAAATTTTAGATTCCTTTTGAGAAAAAAGTTGAAAACAATAACACCAATAAGTTGGATAAAAACAACGGAACGTATTACGGAGAATTTAAAAAAACGCAAAACAGACAAATAAGCAAACTATTATCTTTTCAATTCATTGAATTACAACAAACTGCGTTATAAAATGTATTACAACAATAAGTAAACATGTTTGTTATATATAATGAATATATTAATCTATATATTCAATAACAATAACATTCAAAGTGGTTGAAATGTACTTGATAGTGAATATGTTTTGGATATTCACATGGTTCGGCAAATATTTTATTGTCCCAAAATAGCGACCCTGTTTTTCATTAGGGCGTAAAAGTACTATTATTGTGTGAAAAATAATTTTATAATAATTATTTTATTTTCAATTTTTTTAAAACAAATGTATTTTTTTCATGCCATAACAAAAATATTCTAAAAATACCAAATTTATTAAAAAACATTTAAAAATGTAAAAAAAATAATATTGTTTATGGACAAATATTTATAATTAAAACCAAAAATGAATATTTTTATAATTCAAATTTAATAGAAATAAAATTATATATTTTTTCTAGAAGCTATTCTATTTTTAAAAAATAGATATTTTTTGTTTATTTAACCTTACAATGTCGGTAGAGTAATTAAAATAACATTTATTTTTAGACGATTTGAAAAATATGAAAAAAAACTTGAAAATTCAAGTGTGATTCACTGTTAACAAATTCTCGGATATTGAGACTTTACGATATCAAAAATTGATTTGTATTATTCTGATATGTAATTCAAACTTGTTTATATTTCAAATAATGCGTTGACATTATTTATTTAATTTAATGATTTTTGTTTTTTTTTATTTTTTTCGAATTTAGGAAATGTAATAAAAATGACAAGGGTGCCATTCTGAGATTTTTGGTATTTTGTTTTAGTTTTGTTTATCATCCGCAATCCTAAGGTTAAGACAAACAAATAAAAAACATTTAAATAACAAAAAATGGTCTACATAAACAATAGTCAAATATATTGATTGAAAAAACTATAAAATCATATTATTATTTAGTATAAATATATGTATTTTTCTTAACATTCCAAATCAGTAATAACCAAATATCTTTTAAAAAATATTTTAATATTTAATTATAATAAAATAGTTTATAGAAAATTAAGAGAAAGAAAAAAATGTTCTGACTTCTTCGAGAAGAGAACTTAAAAAGTATGAGTATAAACCCTCGTTCATTTGTTTTGAATAAGAAAGTCTTATTTGCAAAAAAATGTTTTTTTATCAATAAAAAATACATTATCAATAAAAGTTGAAAGACACATCAACTTGCTTATTTTCGAGAGATAAAGACAACTTGTATGATACATCTGTGTATAAAAAAAGAATAACCAATTTAAATAGTTCTAAACACAATTTTTCTGATAATAGTTATGAAGAAAAATATTGAGATTCAAAAATGGGTTTTTGTGATGTTTGTTTATATTTTTTAATAATTTTAAAAATTACATTATTATTATTATTATTATTATTATTATTATTAAACTATGAAGAAAATAGGTTTAAACATACAACTTAAACAATAATAATAAATTTGGATATCAAATATTTTATATATATATTATCATTTATTAATTTTAATAGAACAATGATAAATATCTAAACTTGAAAATAAAAAAATAACAGACAATAAAATTATTTTATTTTTTTTGTCCAAATTACATTATTTTTATTAAGCTTCATATCGTATTTCATGAAAAAATATTATTAAAAATGCTAATGAAACGGGAAAATATTTTTATTCGTTTTATTAGCTTTTTTGATACTAATTTTAAAAATAATATTCTCAAATACAAAGATTATTATTATAACAGTAATTAAAAATCAAACAAAAATCAAATAAAATGATATGAGTCTTAAGTAAGTTTTTCTTCTTTTGTTTTTATAATGTTAATTGGTGCAAATTTTAAAAATAATAAATATATTTACTTATTATTTTCTTGTTTGCTCAATAAAAATAACATCGTATATTTTATAATTATAAAGTTAATTCCAGATACAAACAAGTTGTTATATCTTAATAAAAACTAACAAATAAACATTGTTTAAAACCCCAATCAAATTTAAGATACATATTATTTAACCTCATTTAACTTGAAAGAAATAAAACTAAAAAACAAAATGGATAAACCTTGATTATCTTACTAATGTGATGTAAAGTGTGAGAAGGAAACCAGCAAAAGCCTTTTATTTCTGATATTGTTAAAATGGTTTTGCACCATTTTTACTTTATGCACATCAAGGACACTAGTTTGTATAGTGTTTAGATGAAGTGAATGCAAAAGATCAGTGAGTTTAAAATATGTATCAACAAGTCAAACATTATTATTTGGAATTTCACGAGTGATAGTAATTATGTTTTAACAACAAACAATGTGTGTGTTTGAAATGTATAAATAGACGTTGTATAAAACATGTTATATTAGAATTATTTGTTGTCTTCATATGATAATAAGAAGTGTTTGGAAAGCGGAGACTAATTTATGCATGCGAAAGACAAGTGTAGTTTTAAGAAAAGTTGAATTGTTTCGCCAATAATGATGTTGTAAGTATTTGTGAGATAAGCAAAAAAAGAATTTATCAATGACACAATAAATAAGTGCAAAAGTAGTATTACAAACTGCCGAATAAATTTTTCGATAAGTTTGTGAAATGTCAACTAACACCCACTTTGGCAATTTACAACAACAGAGAGTTTGTTCTGAAAGTGAAACAATGGATAATTATGAAACTACAATTTTAAATATGCAAAGTGCAAAGTGGGTATTACTTCTGAGTGATGTGATAAGAACGTTGAGGAGTCTGACACAAACGCAGCGAAGTACATATCGCGCTAATTTGGGTATTTTTCAAAGTGCAAAAATATTATCACTTGTTTGATGTTATAAAAACTTCATATGTCGATTTTTAAAGGGTTGCTGGATGTACGATTTGCAAAGATAAGTATTGTCGGCAAGGGAGAAATTGCTTCAAGCATGGCAATAAATGCAAAACATGTTTACACAGTGAATGTAAATACATTACATGTAATCTTTAATAATTGGTTATATCAGAACATCACTTAATTTCAATAATAATATGAAATTGTTTGCAATTAAATATGTTTTAATGTTTACAATGTGAAAGTGTCTATTACTTGAATTGATAGAAGTGCGTTAATTGCGAATTGTGCGTTTTGTATGAATTGTGAAAAGTTGTGCAACTGATTTAGTTTAAGGAAGTTAAATATGTGTGTATTACACTGGGTTGGAATTTTGTAAGAGTGAAGTGAATACTATGTGAATAAATTGTTCACCAAAAGTATTATCTTTTATTTATAAATTAGGTTGTTTTTAACATCAAAACAACGCGTTTTCAATTACACTTACAATTATCATTATTATTGTAATAATAGTCACATTGTTTGTGATGTGTTTATTGTTCAAATCACAAATGATGTTATTTTTTAAAGACAAAGTGTGCGTCTAAAATGAAGTTATTGAACATCAACTTTATCTTATTTTTCAAGGAGTTATGTCAAACAAAACTACGCTTATCTTCTTTGTTGACTTTGATACAAATTGTTCACAATCACTGGACAAACCATTCATGACGTACTCTGTGTTGGAAACAACACAAAGTGCTTAATTAAACTACAACTGAAATACAAAAAAACAAATGAGATGAACATTGATGTTGGAAAAATATATCGTGAAAAGAATACCGATTAATGCTTTTTAATGTGTTTTAATGTTGAATATGGCATCGGAAAAAGTTTCTATTGAGAAAATGAAAGAAGTTGAAAACAATAAAAAACGTTTCAAGAAAAAAAATAAAGTAGTTGACTATCAATTAAATTGATATAAAGTTGTTGGGATTGCTGTATTAAAACTGAAATAACAACTTGTATTTTTCAATGAATATTTAAGTTTTTCAAATGCCGTTGTTAATTTCATGTTTTGATGACGGGTCGTTTTCATTTTTGAAAAAAAACCGTTCAACACTCATTGTTGTTGGGAAAACGGTCATCATTTTTACAACAAAAACTTTGTAACTTTGAAAGTTATAATTGCTTCAATGTTGTAAAAATATCTTCAAGAGTGAGCCCATATTGGTAATTGGTCAATGTCTCAAGAGTTTGTTGCAATTAATTTTTACTTTTTATGATATTTTTTCTCATTTTTTCAATTTCACTTTCACTACAAGTTGTCATATAATTGGTCAATAACACAACTTCATCTGATAATTCTTTGTAATTATCGGGTAGTGAAATAGTTTTTCCACTTAAAATTAATTCAGGAATTTCATTGATAGCAAGAATACTATCAAAATTGTAAGGCGTTGGGTTTTGTCCCAAACAGTTAAATCGACAGTGTAATTTGAAAAGTCGACAAGACCACAAATCGTGTTCATATTGACTGAGTGTGGCACATTATTGTATCTCAGAGTTAGTTCAGTCAAAGTTATATATAATAATTTCAGAAGCAACGAATGGTCGACTTTGAGTACCTTCTCGAGTTCGGCAAAGTCTTCAAAGTTTGATTTTTCAACCTTTCTTATCATCATATCAATATAATCAATAAACACAATAATTCTTCTTGTGTATTCGGGAATTGTTCCATCTTCTTCTTGAAGGGAACTCGAAAAATAAAATAATATTTTGAAATACTCTGTTGTTACCTTGAAAATATTCTTAATTTGTATGTCCTTCATATCAAATTTAGTATAAATTATACCATTCTTTTTGAAATATTCAAGTAAATCATTTTGCACACTTTCATTTAAAATATACTTTGATATGGCTTTATAATTCGAAGTAATATCTTTCAAATTGTTATATATGTACAACCATCGTGTGTAACAATAAGTTGCAATTCCCGATTTTACAATTTTACTTTTTTTCAAAGTCTCTAATTTTTTCTTCTTTACAAAACAATTAACAGATAGATTCTATCATTTTTACTTCTGGTTCAGTGTCGCAACTTTCACCGACTAGATGGAACCCGTGGGCAGAACACCACCATCCCTTAATTGATGGATATGGAACCCGTGTTTTCGTTGTCAACAAACCCAACTGTACACTGAATTGTTCAACCACGCCTCCATCAACTCCACACATTGTAGCACAACCATCGGTTGTGATGCAGTGTAATTTATTCAATGGAATTCCAAGCAACAACAATTTATCGAGTAACCATTTCGCAACTGATTCAGAGTTTGTTTCTTTTTCTTCATATTCTTTAAGAATAAGAGGGACGGAATAAAAGTTTCCATTTAATTCATACCTCAAAATAACACAGTAGATTTCTTTGTGCTTTTTAGTGGTCGAGTCGGTTGAGATACAAATGCACCCACAATTTTCCATACAATCCGCAAAATCACCAAAAGAGGAAACGTTTGCTCTTTTAATTTGCCTTCCAACAGACCTTTGACTCAAACTTAGTGATTTTATGTCGTCAAAATATTGTCTCGAAAGCAGGTAAAATGCCCAGTACTGTCCGAATCTTACTGCGTTTATTTGCGATTCAGATAAACGTGCCTCAATAGAAAGTGAATTTATCAAATACTCGATGATTGATCTTTTGATAACATTCATATTTTCCATTTGTTGTTCACTTTCATTTTCAAATAAACAATCAATCAAATTTACCTTTATAGAATGTGTATTCTCGAATATCTTCCAATGCTTTATTTAAATTAACGTTTCCAATTCCAACACTTTTATAATGCACAAAAATTCCACTTTTAAAGTCTTCAACTGATGTGTTCAGTTTATCAGACATTTTCCGTTTGTGTTTAATGTCAAAAACTCTGTGTTGTTGTGCGTGTAAATCGTCTTTAGTTTGTGAAGTGTGCACATTTAATTGTTCTTCGTCATGTTGATCTATTTGAGGAGCATCATTTGAAGGTTCAATACCAGTTAATTGTGTGTGGGAATCTTCATGAACAATTAAAACTTTATTTACCATATCAAGTTGATTGTTTTGTGTACTTTCGATTTGCTCAACTTCTCTGACTTCTTCTTCAATCAAAATACCAGAAGTGCAATGGCTTGTTGGTCTTCTTTTAATTGGGCGTATTTCAGGAGGTGCCGTTCTAAATTTGTTATAGAAGAACCATCAAAAAATCTTCGAATTGTTGCAATTTTCGAGTATCTTTTGTTTGTGTAAGAATACCCAACTTTGGATGTTGTCGTTAAAATATCACTGGTATAAATTTCTTTTAAGCTTGTGTTCTCCGAATTTACTAATTCTTTAAAAACTGTTTGTTCTTCGGATGAAATGAAACGTATTGTTTTTGGATGTGACTCCAAGTGACTTCCTTTTGAAGATTTTTTAATCCATTTATTGTGAAGTAGACAAAAATACCAATCTTCTCTGTTTTGTGTTGTTTGGAAAGAAGTGTGTATAAGACTTCGAGAAAAGGCGTATAGATCATTCAAAAACACAAGATTTTGCTCTTCCATTGTAATTTACTTATTTAAATTATATTTTAACCCTCAACAAATAATATGTTTTATTAACATTATGAATATTTTAAATAATAAAACGTTTTAATAATTAATAATACAATTACAACATTCATTTACATGTAAAATTAACATTGAAATTATCTTTAATGCTAAAAAATAAATGAAATTGCACAATAATAAACAAATATAAAAAACGTTGATTCAATTAATAAAATACAAAAAATGTATTTTTATCATGTTTATAAAGTAAAAACTTGCCTATTGTTATTTATAATCAGATGAAAGCAGTAATAATAATTATAATTATCTAAATTCGAAACTATATTTATTTTTTCAGTTTGAAAAGCAAATCTGCAAATACTTTTCATAATTATAAAAACAGATTTACTTAATCATATTATCATCTATAATATTACAAACTTGGTTGTTTGTTAGCAAAGAAATACATGTATTTTTAATTAATTAATTTTAAAACTTAAATAAACTCAAACAATACTATTATTATTGTTTTACGACGAGTTTAACAGTGAATTGTTGAACATACAAGTGTTGTGTTATTCGTTTTTAAAATCATAAACACAATTAACAAAACTATTTATATTGGTTCAAATTAAAAGTTATCATAACTATTAATTTAAAAAGTAACCACTTTTTTATATACAAACAAAAGACTTATTTGTGTTTGATAATAAATTGTGAAATTGAAGTTTTTTTATTTTTCAAGACCGTATTTCAAGAATAATTATAAATTTGACGCCGTTGCAATATTTTTCAAATGTTTCTATTCATTGAATACAGATAAAAAATATCAATATGTTGACGGTATTAGTTATAAACAAAATGAACCAATTAATAATAATAATTAGAATATATTTTTGTGTATAAAATTAAATTATCATATTGTTTTGAATATTTTCCATTTTAAAACACATTTTTATAATAAATATTAATGTTATTTTTAAACATACATTTTAAACATCTAATCAAATATAAGACAATAACTCACTCTGTCAGGTTTTTTATGATCTCAAAAAATAATTGATTATATTACATGTTATTATCGAATGCAAAGCATCGTCCAAAAGGTTTTCGCAAGATAAATGATAGATTATTTTTAATCTCATTCAATTGTGATTGTAATACGTTTTAAACACTTTTAAACTGTGTGTACAAAAATATTTTTTGTATTTAATAATTTCGTTAATAATATTGTTAAAATATCTTTAGAACGTGATTATCGTTCTAAACACTTAACGTGAAACTTATCTTTATTTTCTAAAAACCCATTTTCAAAATATCTATCAATTTGTTTTAATTTGAACAACTTTGTGCTTAAAAGAATTACTACAAACGTTGTTAAAACATAAAAATTATTTAATTTTTAGAAACTATAAAATGGACCTTTCACATAATTTTTAAGAATTGGTTATGTGTTATTTTAACATCAAATGTTGATTGATAGATTTTTAATTTTTTGATATGTCAAATAAAAACGCATCAACAGTAATACAACAAAGTAATATTTTTATTTTGAAATAACCAAAGAGTATTAAAAGAACAAATTTATTTTCAAATACATTAAAATTGAATGTTCTTGAAAAAACAAAGTCTAAATAATAAATCGAAATGTTATATATTGTATAATTAATGTTTTATTTTTAATTAATTATTTTATTTTATTAATTAAAAAACATTATTTGATTTGTTATTGTTTTAAACATCAACCAATTTAAAAATCGTTTTAAATTAAAATTAATGACAAATTATGGTTGATTAAGAAAGAAAAGGGTTTTCTTCTTTTACTTCTACAAAATCATAAATCAATCATAATTAATATTTTAAAAAAAATCAAGTATTTGTTCACAGTTGTGTATGTAGTAGTAAACTTAAAAAACATTGTGAAATGTTCAATGTGTTCTTGAGGGTGTAAATTAGTGCAGTCCGGCACTTAATGTCGCCCGTGTTGACCTTGGTTCTACCAACAACCTTAACATAAATGAGGTTTGAAATGAACGTTTTCGAAATACTTTATTCGAACGATCACATTCTAAGAACTTACTTGACGAAGAACAACAAGTATTTGATACTTGTGAAAAAAGCATGGTTCTTTGACAAAAGATTAAAAATTCAAACGACTTGAAAGTTAAGAAGTTTTTTAATTGAGTGGTTCAGTTTTTATTTGGTATTATTTTTCTTTTCATTGAATAAGTAAGAGTTAGTAAAACAATTTATTTATTTAAACAAAAGTTAATAACAAAAAACATTTTTGTAGGGTTTTAAAGTTTCTGGAAGTTGCATTTAGAATATTCCAGTCACCCCGTTTATTAAGATAATAAATACCTAAAAATATTGTCTTTTTATTTATACATACATCCCTATAAATTCGGGATTGTAATAATTATTTAAATGATCGGTTAATAGTTAATTTAATTAAAATGTTTATCTATTCATAAGAACCTTTATTTTTTAAATGCCTTTATTTATAGAGCATCAATTTTATTTTTATTCAAGCAAAAAGAACAAATTATTATTTCCCGTTTTTTTACGTTAAAAACTTGTAAAAATTAATATTTTACTCTAACAAAAAAACTTTCAAAAAGACCCATTATGATTTAAGTAACACAACCATTTTTGAGCAAATAAACGAGATATTTACTAAAAAATCTTATTAGGAAAAATACCCGTTATCTTGGTCAAAATTAAGCTATCATTTATCTTGCGAAAACCTTGCCGGACCATGTATGATTATTGAAGCCAAAATTTTATCTTCATTTATCGAATCCTAATAAATTTATTTTTATTATAAATTATGATACTGTTATTATAAATAATAGTAAAAACTTAATATAATATCGTTAAATAAAAAACAGACTTTAGTTTTAACACAACAAAGTTTTTATTATTCAATGAAACATTATTTGTTGTAATTATTAAACCATTAAAGACTGTCTAAAAACGTTGTCCATCTGACAAAATTTTACACAAAATAAGTTGAAAAAATAAGGAATTAGGAAAAAACGTTCAAAACAATGTAAAAATTATGAAACAATGTTTTTGAAATGTTTCGAACCATTTCTTGATTTATTTCAGTTTTGATGGTCCAAAAATGCCCAGACAATGTTGGAGAGCGGACAAGATTTTAGACTGACTATAAGAATTTAATAAATATTAAACAATTACAGTAATATCTACATGACATTTAACTTTTACTATTTTAATTATAATAGTTCATCAAATAATAATAAAAAATCAAGTTAATTTGTACTTGACGACTGCATCAAAGTTAAAAATATGATCATTTATTTTAAAAAACGTGTTTTTTAAAAACACGTTTACTTTTTATTATTAAATTATAACAAATAAAATAATTATAAATGATGTTTCATAATGTTTTTTAACTACATAAGTTATATAATAAATTATAAAGTAATGGTCTTTATTATATTCATATTATTTTTTTGACTAGTGGATATCAGTGCGACTGCACACAAATCAACTCGAGCATTAATAATGGATTCAGCCCTTCAAAATGTACTATTTTTCCAAACACACGCTTGTACTGTTTTAACAACTATTTTATTTTTTCTATCCGTATATTAAAATTTGAAAATGTTTACATTCTTCAAAACATGGAATTTACAAACAATGGCGATATATATTGGCAAAATATTAATACAACCACACTCTTTGAAAACGTCAGTTTAATCATTTCATGTTGTTTACACTTTAATAAAAATCTAAATATCGAGAATGGTACTGTCATCAATGTTATTAACAATAAAACAATATTTGGTTTATTTTCTGAAGCGGGAGATCTTAATGTTACAAATCCGGAACTGAACAAGCCAAGAATTATATTGTGGAACTCGACTTATATTCACCTCAACAAAAACATTAATGGAAGACGTGATTTCAAGATATTAAATCCAATAAGTAATACAAAATGTTTTGACGTGTTTTCACTCAACAATCAAAGCAATTTGGATATTCGTACAACAAACGATCACATTTCATCTTTGATGTTTGAGTATTCATACAACTTCACAGATGGGAAAGGGGTATTTGATATCAAATAAAAAGTTGATTCGATTCTGTCCAAATGGGACACAACTTGACACAAATGTCATCTGTACATTAAAGAAAGAAATGTACACCAATGACAGCCCAACAACAATGGAAGGTGATTTTGACTATCCACATTGTCCTTGTAATTCAGACTCCACTGTTAATTGCAGGTTAAAGTTTTCAGAAATGTTTGATTTGTATAATATGTCCGATTTCGATATTTCAAATACAGAATTGCTTGTTGACAGAGATATCAAAGTCACAAATCTTAAAAGAGTGAAACTGGTGACAATCAATGATGACACTAAACTCGATATTTCTGCGTACTTTGACAACATGATCTTTTTATTTTCATTTGAAGTGTTGACAAATGGGGTGTATGGAGACAAGTATACCATTGATGCATCATTACAATATCACACGTCTTCCAATACATTGGAGTGTATAGTAAACTTCAACTACAGCATCTCTCTTGTTAAAGAAATTCAATTTTTCCAAATAGAATGTCCAAGTACTATTGATGTTCTGAATTTGTATGAAAATACGAGTGTTGTAATTTTGAAAAACACTTCTTTGTATCAAATTAACAAAATTCAATTTGGTCAATATGGTACAAGTTACATAGTGATGGATTATCCATCAAACAATAAAATACTTGAGGGATGTATTCTTATGGAAATAACAAAAGAAAAAGAGATTTGTTTGTTGTGTGGTGAAAGTTATCAACTTATTGAAGGTCAATGTGTTCGTGTTGTTGAGTATTGCGAATTTTGGAATTTGAATGGCATTTGTACATTGTGTGTTAACGGGTTTGTTTTAAATGATGATCGCGAATGTATATCTTCGGATAACTGTTCAATTGGAACAATTACAGAGTGTTACAAATGCCGAAACGGTTATATTCTGAACAACAACAATTGTTATAAAGAAGATAAGTGTGTTCTATCAAACGAATATTTGTGTTTACATTGCAGTGAAGGAAACACAGAAACAAATTGTGAGAAGTGTGTCGACATAAATTGTTAAATCTGAGAATCAGAGAAATGTATTTTGTGTAACATGGGATTTGTAATCAACTCTGTTGGTATATGTGAAAGCCAAAACAATGGTTCAACAGTTGGTGTCTCAACTATTTGGTGTAATGGCACTTTTTACATTAATTATGAAAGTTGTAACAGTTGTTCAAATAAATACGAACACTCTCATTTATGTGATAAAACACGTGTTGTCTCGTGTCAACAGAATTACATACAAGACAATTGTGGACATTGCATAGCAACGATATGTACAAATAAAACAACAGTAGACCAAAACGGACTCTGCCAAACAGAAATAAACCATTGTATGTTCATCGTGAACAATAAATGTGTTGAATGTGAAAACAATTACACTTTTAACAATAACAAAAGTTGTATTAAAACATCACATAATAATAATTCAACAAATTGCATCTCATTTAACAAAAATGGGTGCGTTTCTTGTGCAGTCGGGTATTACCTATTAAATGCTGAATGTAATTTATGTTCCGAGAATTGCACCAGTTGTGTAGAGAGTGACACAATGTGTCTTTCGTGCAAGTCTGGATTTTATCAAGGTGATAATTACACGTGTTTGCCAAGCACAGACTTGTTGAGTAAATGCAACAAAATATCAACAATAACAAATGGGTGTTATCAATGCAAAGACGGGTATTACAGAGTTGGTCTGAATTGCTATGAGTGTTTTTTGAATTGCTCAACATGCAACACAAAAGATAAATGTTTGACTTGCAATTTGACAAATTACAAGACGTCAAGTGGAATTTGTTTGCCACAGAACAGTATCATTGGGTGTGCTGTTGAAGTCACACAAAATGGGTGTAACATGTGTATAAATGGGTATTACACAGTCAATTACAATGAGTGTGAAAGGTGTCATGACAACTGCACAATATGCACACAACACGAGAAATGCACATCCTGTGTTGAAAACAAAGTGTTATTTGAAAATGGACTCTGCTATGACATTTCATTTGTATCATATTGTGTTGCTGTCTCAAATTCAAAATGCTCCAGATGCACATTCTGGCACTCGCCAAATGATAATGGCACATTTTGTAACAAGAAGGCGGTCTGGTGGGTACTTCTCATAGTAGTGTTGTTTGCAATTATTGTGATGGCAGTTGTGATAACATCAATTGTATTTGCTGTGTTGTTTATTGAGAAAAAAATGCGACAAAAGAAGATTGAAATGACAGCAACACTTTTCAAAATGAGTCGCTCCAACATCACATTTGTATCACTTGGTGATGATGTTGTAGTCAACAAAACAGAAATATCATTTGGTCAGGACGTTGATGTCAACACACAACAACGAGAACTTCTGTGTGTTGGCAACACATCAAAACACAATATGAAAATCCAAATCACAACTAAAGGTGCAACAATTGAGAAATATGTATTTGAGTCAAATCCGAAGATAGTAATGTTGCCAAGTGGCGAGGCGTGTGAGTTTGAGATATTACTGACTTTAAAATGCACAACTAAAATGGATGAGAGTGTTGTGTTGGTTACAAACTCATTCACAAAAAGAAACCCCAATTTAAAAGAAATGAAAATTACAGCAACTTCAAAATTGACAACACGACTTGATCCAGACGAGTTGGAAGAAGACAAGAAACTTGGCGAAGGTTCGTTTGGAATTGTTTTTAAAGGAATGTTCAGAGACAATGTTGTTGCTATTAAGAAAATGAAAATCGGCACTGAAGATGATTCTCAAAAAATTGAGTTTGAGAAGGAAGTTGAAATGTTGGACAAATTCCGGAGTGAGTATATTGTCCACTTTTATGGCGCCGTGTTTGTGCCAAGCAAGACGTGTATGGTCACCGAATTTGCACAATATGGGAGTTTACAAGACTTGATAAAACACAAAACAAGTGAAGAAATTGACATGAAACTTCGAGTTAAATATATGATAGATGCGGCTAAGGGTATTTCATATTTACACACAAATGGGATATTACACAGAGACATCAAACCAGACAACATTTTAATATTTTCACTTGATGTAAATTACAACGTGAATGCCAAACTGACTGATTTTGGAAGTGCAAGAAACGTGAATATGATGATGACTAACATGACATTTACCAAGGGAATTGGTACACCAGTTTATATGGCGCCTGAAGTGCTGGACAAAAAACACTACAAGAAACCAGCTGATGTCTATTCATTTACAATAACTATGTATGAAGTCTTTGGGTGGAGTAATGCATATCCAAAAGAAACATTCAAATTTCCATGGAAAATTGCCGAGTTTGTGACAACAGGAAAACGACTTCAAAGAAAAGATAATATACCAGAGAAGTTGTACCAAATAATAGAAAAATGCTGGAAACAAAATCCGAAGGAGAGAACGACTATCATAGATTTGATTGAATTAATTCAAGGAGAATATAACATTTTATAATTAATCAAAATGTTGTTTAACACTTAGGACGTTTTATTAGTAAAGATTAAACCAATCGCTAATTTTTAAATTATTGGTTTTCTGTTATTTAACTAGTTTTATAAAAATAGAAGGCATTTTGAATAACATTTTAAATACAAAAGCTTTACAATGCTTTTTTTTAAAAAAATAATTTATTAATTAACTCTTAGAATTGTATTTTGGACAAATCATACAAATAAAATGAACATTCTTAAATTTAACTTTTGATTTTGAGGATGTTTGAATCTTACAAACAGCAAAATTATAACTAACCACACAAAATATATATCATATCGACCTTTGTTAAATTTGTATGCTGCAACGTTTTATTTTTTGTATTCATTTTTACAATAATATTAATGTTTATTCATAAAGTGATATATTGCAATAAATATTGAAAAAAATCTTGTTAATATAGTGTTTTTTTGAAATAAACAGCAATGAACGTTTTTAATACACTTTTAATGTAGATAGTTACTTCATTTTAAAACAAGAAAAAGTCATTTTCTCCTGGCCTTTGAAAGAATGAGTCCAAGCGACCCATTTAAAGTCTCCTTCAGATTTCCACTCTCGAGCCACAAAAGAATTTTTCCCAAACACAGAAACTGCAATCCCCAAAGAAAGTTTTTCCGTCTTTGGGAGATGAACAACTTGTTGAGTCTTTTGATGGAAGAGATATTCACATGTTGAGGAAATTGGAAGAGATGTCCCTAAAGTGTTCAAAACTAAGTTTGTCAAAATGAGATTTTTTTATCGAAAATAGAATGTTTATCACTTTTAAAAATTTCAAATTTTATTGGAAAAATAACAGATATGTCAGAAGTGTTGATCGGCAAGTTATAAATTGAGAGTTGCACAAATGCTGAGCACGACAAATTAAAATATAACATATGTTACAACAGTTTATATAACCGCAGTCAAATTTTGTTTTTTATTTTTTTCTTTAAAACTTTGACACTTAAAATTGAACATTTTGGGTTTGGTCACAAGTTGAAATGTTATCTTAATAATTGAATTTTTATTGCTTCATTTTTGTCCCGACCATTTTATAATTAAGAACATTATTATAAAAAAACATCTATTTTCAAATATAGACAGTAACAAATTATATTAAAAACATTCAAAGATAATACACTTTACTAACTATCAACATTAAACGTATTGAATTAAACAATGTACTGAACGAGTGCAACAACTTTTAAAATTAATAATAGCCAAAATTAATGAAAATAACATTTTCAGTGCTATTTAAAAAAGTCAAAGTTGTGTATAGTTTTCGATGTATTTAAAATAATCATTTATAATTGTTAACAATGTATCAATCCAATTTGGACATTCTATGAGGCACCATTATATTAAGTAGTTTAGTATTATTAATTATTGTTAAAAACTATAACTTTGAATAATAACATATTCTTATTATATATATTATGCAATATTACAATTACTAATCAAATTAACATTCGTTAAAAAACGTGTTTAATTTTTAAAAATATCATTTATATACTCATACCAATCTTCATAATATAATATGACTTGTTTTTTTATGAAAAATAACATATTAAATATTTCAATTTAATATTTAGATAAAAACCTTCATATAATGTGTTTTTTAAACAGCCTTCAAAGTTATGTGTTTTTGCAATATACATTAAATGTTGACAATTCTAAACATTTACTTCGCCTATTCACACATGTTTGATAATTTTCAAATTTCGTGTTTTGAGTATTAAACGATTATCTACTAAAAATTTGAATTTTGAATATTACGAATTATTTTTAAGTTGTAAACTTCAAAAAAGTCACAACATGACCTCATTTTAAACCAAAAAATCATTGTTTTATAATGTAAAAAATAGTAATCTGTTGAGCAATTTTAATAAAAGCGGATTACTATGACTGAAATCGGATTGGCCAATTATATAAACAACTTTTTGAATAAACGAATTCAGTAAAACAAAATGAAAGGTGTGAACACCAAAAATGCCTCAAAGAAAAGCGAGAAGCCGAGAAACAACGCATTGAAAATGAAAAGAAGCTTGAAACGGACTTCGCTGAGTTCAAAAAGACTTTGACTTCAGAACAACAGACTTTACTCGACGAGTACATCAAATACGAAACTGAGAAAGACGAGTTTTCTTCTTCAGACGTCGACAAAGGAAGTGACAAAGACGATGATAAGTGTAAAAGAAAACGTGAGAAGTGTCCAATGGATAAAGAGAGACGACAAATGAAGAGAATGTGGAAATGGCATATGATGAACCAAATGTATAACAGACCACCTCCACCACCCATGTGTTGCCCACCACCTCAATTTGGATATGACCAAATTGGATGCGGTTTTGGCATAAGACCATTCCATCAACCATATTATGGGTGCTGCCCACCTCCACCTCCTATGATGGAACTTAATCCTTACGGATGCAATCAAATGTGCTTCCCACCTCCACCACCACCATTTTTTGGTCGATTTGGAGGTTGGGAAAGAGGAAGACGACATCACCCACAATTGTGAAGTTGATCAACTAATTCACTTTTAATAACAATTTTATTATTGAATAATAAAATGTGTTTTAAACTCTGGACACAAAGTCCGACGTATCGGACTTTCGGATTTGTTTTTCTGCTATTTTTTAAAATTTTTATTGAAATAATTAATGAATTATGTCAAGAAAAACGGGAAATGAGCTAAATGTTATGAGCATTTATAATTTTTATATTATTTTTGATGTGTTTTTTCTTCAATTATTTTTTGTTCATCCCACAAAAACGTTCATTAAAACATTCATTGTTTTCACAAAGTATAAATAAAGTAACTACTTTGTTTTGATAAGTAAAAATAGTTTTTTAGCATTACAAAAATATGAATTTTTGATTATAATTGTTGTTTAACAAAACTATAATTATAATACATTTTATTATAATCACAATAATTAATAAAAGTGTTCCAATTACAAATGTCATTATTGTTATATATTTTTGTGATGAAATGATCACAGAATTTGCTTTGTCTTATCATATTATTATTAAACAAATTCTATAATAAATTAATAATGAAATGATTAAATATTATAAAAGTCAAATAAACACAAGTAATAATTGTTAATTTTTATTATATTATAAAAAAGTATTTTTATTCCAATTAATATTTCGAATCACTTATATTTCATCTATAAAAACAAAATTAATCAATTATAATATATTTACATTTTTATAATTAATATTTTAATATTTTCAACATAACGATAATAAAAATTGTTTTGTTACTTGTGGTGTTTTGGTTAATTTCATGTGTTTCCTTATAAAATTTTGATACACTTTTTAGTTTAATTTAATAATAAAACTATGATTAAGTTGTGTTTTTCGTTGTTATTGTAAAAATCAAAGAATTGAAAAAAAAATTATTTTTATTTTTTTAAATGTTATAGTATTGATGAAATTTGCGATTTTTGTATAAAATTTGGGTATGAAATTAATTTTTCGTGTTTTATAAACCAAAATATTTCATGATTTTGAAATAAGGAAATTGTAGTGTAAGTAGAAAATTAAAAATCAAAAAATAAGACGCAAAAAATCAAAATAAGGGAAAATAATGATAAGTAAAACAGGTATAAATTTCGACAAAATATATTAATATCCCGAAAGAACAAAAGAAAAAAATACTGTTTTAACGTGTCGGACTTTATGGCCCAAGTTTATTTGATAAAAATAAAGAGTTGATTGTTTATAATTAAATTAATAAATTAAAATTATTATAATTATTAAGAATATCAACATTATTTGATTGATATAAAGTCGCTGTATTTGTGTTTAGAAATAAAAATTTATTTACAATTCTAAATATGCAAAACAGAAACAATAAAATATTTTTTGTTAAAAATACGATTTTTGTAAATAATACACTTGGTTGGGTCCAAATGGTATCAGCTAATGTATCAAGCAAACAACTTTGTTTGAATGATAGTTTTATATTAAAATATCTATAACTTTTTATTTATAATGAAAATTACAAACGATAAAAAATTGTCAAATAGTTGTAACAAGTAAAAAATAGTTTAGTTGATAAGACAATTGTTTTTATTTGTGTAATCACTGTTATTTTTTTTCTTAAATTGGTTGTGGAATAATAACTTCATTTTCGGTGTACAAATCCATTTCAACTATCGTTAATAAATTAACCAAAGAATCGATATAGGTGCCAGTATCTGTATACAAACGCCCATTCTTCTTTGCAAATTACTCGGATTTATGTCGTAATATTTCTTTTTCATCAATCAAATTTGCTCATGTGCCACAAAAAATATATACGACTTCTTTAGTAATTTCAATAATATAATAAAATGTTTTGATACCATAAATTATGCTTTGAATACCTTAAAATGTGGATGAGATGATGATTAAATAAAAGTAAACACAGACAACATCATCTCTATAATGTCACCATTTGTATATTTATATGTTAAGTGGTATTATATATAATAGCACTATATTTTTTAAAGAGAAAATTATCAACTCAATTTATTACCAATTAATAACTTTTTTTATTATTCATTAAATTGTTAATTTAAATTTTAATACTGATTGAAAGTAATTTGTCAAAATTTTTAATTTACACAGTTTAAAATAATAAAATTATATTGTTTTTTTTGTATAAACTTATAATTATTATAATAATAAACAAATGTTTTAAAATGCTAATAATAACAGTACTAATTTTTAATATTTGATATTAAAAACAGATTTTGATTGTTATATAAATTAATAACAAATATAAAGTACATTCTGACTAAAGATCGATATTTTTCAGTACAAGCCATAAATATTTTTTGTTCATTATGTATGTATAAAACCACATAAGTTTATCATGTATATAAAAAATTGTTTTTCATATGTTGATATTTAATATCATTGTTTGCAATCTTAATACAATAAAATTTCTTAAGAGCGGGTTCTCTCAAGAGTGGGCATTTTTTTAGACTAAAACTTAAAATAGAGTTATCTATCAAGTGGTATTTAACGTTTAGTTGGCTAAAAATGCCCCCTCTTGAGAGAACAAAATTACCACACCCTCCGCTCTTGGGAGGTTTTACTTTAATCAACAAAAATATCCTTTTTTACTTTCAATTTAAAAAATTACTTAAAATATTTACTAGAGCCGTTTTTCCATTTTGTCTGGTTTTAAAAAAATCAAAAAAAGTCACATTTACATTAATATTCACTAAGATTTCTATTTTATATATTTCAATTTTTCCCGTCTTTGAAGGGGTTAATTCTATATTATAACAATCGAAATATATAAATTAATAAATTTTAATTATTTCATTAATTATTATTATTATTAAATATTTAAAAATATAAACATCATTATTTAACACTGAAATTGTTGAATATAATACAAGTAATTTAATAATATTTTATTTTTTGGATTCGATAAAAAAACATTTATTGCAATAAATAATAAGCTGTTTACAAAAAACGATAACAGTGAACTTAAATTTAAAATAACGCAGAAATTACTCAGCCGTCTTGAACCATTTTATCTAAGAAATGTAGTCTTATACCTTCCAACTCTTTCAGACATATGCAATTTTGTTTGTGTTAATCATTCCACTCTTAATGTCACAGAAAGTTTGTACATCAACCTGTTTGGTCTTCAACAAACTGTTTCTATTCACAAAATTATTGATTTATTTCCTAAACTAGAAACATTGTATCTTCCCTTTGAAATTAACGACGTCCCGAGTTTCTTGGAAACTCTAGGCACTTTTCTGATAGAGTTCAGACGAAAGACTTTTAATTCCGAAGTAAAAAGCCCATCAGAAACAATAACTTCTCTATTTAAAACAGAGTGGTTTCCAAAACGTGTTCTTTATATTCGTATCTTCAAAAGTGAAATACAAACATTTGCAGAAAATTTGAGTAAATTTGTTCAACTCAAAACTGTTTTAATGGCGTTTTACAACACATCAACCGACCCAACATATTTTATCAATATTTTGAGACATCAAAGTCTCAAAACTGTCTTATTGTCAACGAATTCACCAACAACACAATTACTCACAAAATTCAACTTTTCTGAATATCCAAAAACGCAATTTAAAATCCAATTTTTCGAGTACGGCCAACACAAACTGTCTCCAGAAAACATTGCCGAGCTGTCTACACTCCCTGAAAATGTTCAAGTTTATATTTCATACATTTCAGATATCATTTTCAATTCAATTATTCGAAAGGGGAGCATAAGTTATCTCCCTTTCTTAAGTGCGGAGAGTCCCAATAAAGTAGTAGCAAAAGTGTATAACAAATGTCTTGGAATACACAACCTTTTTAAATTATTGGAAATTACACTTCCAACCAAATTTTATATTACCGAGGATGATGAAAATAACTCAACGAATTTGTCAGTCATTACCTGTGATTTGACACAAATGAAAGAGCCAATTTATATTGAGAAAGTTGTGTTGGAATATGTAAATTTTAACAAAATAACACTTCCAACAACAAAATATGTGGTGATAAATACTGTGAGGGGGGACGTGGTAATGTGTAAGTGTCAAATCGAAGAAATTGTAATCAGTGATCACAATGGAAATTTAAGTGAATTTGATTGTGAGAATGTGAAGAAATATGATTGTGACAAAAGTTGTACAGTGACATTTAAAAAAATAAAGTACACAAACACTCTTTTTGTAAAAGTTGGTATGGAAGTTGAATACAATTTTTGTGTTAAAATCCCAACTAATATCATTTTTCTAAAAGGAAATGAGAAAATGGGAGAAGTAACATTTAAATCAAACTTTCATTATAATAACAAAAAAAATCTTTTTTAGTGACGTTTCCAATAATTTGGATTTATCATGTTTAAACAAAAGTGATTTGAAAGTCGTTGAAATTGGCAAATTGTGGACAACAAATTTAACATTCACATTTGGGGAATTGAACAAATTTGTCATTAATAATTGTTTTGAAAATCGACCACTAATAAAAAGCATAATTTTTGATAAAATGAAACGCTTGATATTGGCTTATTGTAACGTCGATAAACTTATCGGTAAAGAGCTTGAAATTGTTGTTTTAGATCATGCTCACATCACGGCAATACAAATCGAAAACATCAAATCAACAAAATTTGTTGATTATGCTGATATTGAAAACAATGAAAATGTTTTGATTAATTCAATTTGATTATTTATATTTTTACTATTATATTGTCGATATTAGATTTTATTTATATTTTAAAAAATATTACATACAATAACAATAATTTTGAAATTAACACAAGTAGCACTAATGGTCTAAGGGCAGAATTTCATACTCCCAAGGTGGAGATCCGGTTTCAGTTCCGGTTGGTGCATTATTTTTATATTAAAAATAATAATTATTATAATTAATAAATAAATAAATAATAACCTTGAAGATTCATCAAAATACTTAAGCTGATAAGATTTATTTGAAGTCATAAACATACATAAAATATAAGTACTGGTAACAAAAGGTTTGAAATGCGTGTCAAATAATTATAAATATAAAAAAATAATTAATTAATTATTTACATTAAAAAGTGATTACATTAAAATTTATTTGGTAAACAAAAAATAATTGTATTTCTTTATAATTATTCATATTTAAACAATTATATTTCAAATTACAAACATAGTTTTTAAAAATCACACACATAGTTACCAATGTGACAAGACATGGAATGATAAATAAATAATTAACAATCATGTTCAAATGTAATTGTTGTTGTGAACAAAACCGAAGATAATAATTGTTTTTGACATATTTTTGATAATTGAATATATCTTTTATATTTAAAATAGTTATGACCATTTTCATTGTGTAAATACATAAAAAAGATTATTTTCAAATAACTTACTGTCGTTAATAACATGTAAATGACGTTATTGAATATATATTATCTTTTTAATTTATTTTGTCTGATTATACATATATATAGCACAATTATAAAAATGACATTACAACTGTTATTAAACAGTGAAACAATAGCATGATTATGCATTTAGTTAATTATATGTTATGATAATTAAATAAAATGATTCACTTATATACTCTATACGCTCATTGTAAAATGAATTATTTTATTAAACATTTATACTTTTTGAGTGTGTAAACAGATAATTTCAAACTAAACAAATACAATATATTGCATTTTCACTTTCAAATGAATTGATGTTTTTGTTGAATGTGTTTCCAGCTAAAATACAAAAGCAGTTTAAAAAACTAATTAAAGGATGATAAACACTCGGTTGACATGAATCTTTATTCAGTAGTGATGGCTGTTTTTTATTGAGTTTTGTAAACAAAAAATAAAATATCTGCAATTGTTGTGGTTTCAGTGTGAGTGTATTTCATCAAAGTTTTAACTAGAAAGTGAATTGCAGTCACAGAATTGAAAGAAATCGTTTTTCATGATATCAGAGCCGATTGTTTGGTCAAATTTAATTTCAAAATTTACAGAGACTCGACCTTCGATAGATTGGATGCCTCTGTTTTCATGAGTGTCAAAAATAAGTTGCTTTGAACCCATTTGTAAAGTAAATGTATCAGTTGTTTTACCAATTTGATATACCATTGATTTAAAGTATATAAATTATTTCAGTATCAACGAATTTCAATATCAATAATAAATTAGGTGAATGTGTAGTACATTTCATTCTAATTCTCACTTCATTAATTGAGTTCATCAAACTTTTTTTCTGATCAAACTGTTTTTGTTGTTATATATATTACAATTGAAGTATGTTTGATCTGTTTAATTTATTCCGATTTCAAATAATAAAGTTGTGTTTTGTTATACATTTTTACTATTCATAACAAGAAATATTGTATTCAAAAATATAAGTGTATCTAATTAAATAATAATGCATTTGTTATTAATTAATATAAAAATATAACAAAATGTTGTTTGTTAAAATACAATATACAGCAAAAATTGTAGTATTGTTTATTTTTTTAAATCGATTTACAATAAAAATATTGTAATGAAATAAAAAACACACAGTTGAAATTAATTTAAAACTGTCTATGATTTTCAATTATTATTATTGGTAAAAATATATAATTATTCAAATATATTTTTTGTATTAAATATTTTTAAACATTAAATTATTAAACATGATATACACAATTCCATAAATGTTAAACATTAATATCTTTAATTGCTTATTACACGCCTAAAATAGGTGTAGTTTATTGTGTGTAATTAAACAAATCAAAACATTTTCTTTTTTTTTAGATAAACAACAGTTACACAATTGTTTAAAAATAATTAATATATATTTATGATCAAAATATGATTTAATTGTCGAGTGTAATAAAAACATAACATTCATATTATCTAAAAACATTTAATATCATTATAATTAATAATTATTTGTTTTTTATAATATGTTAAAAGTTACATATAAATTATATAAAAAACAAATTGTTTGTTACATTTGATAAATGGGTAGTTTTATTTATATAATTTTTTTGTGTAATAATTGATATTATTATAAAAATAAAAATGTAAACAATAATGAAAAGGTATATAAAGGATAATATTTATCTATAAATCACATGTTCATTTTCTTTCTTTTATCACTTACTATTGCCGCAGACACTTATGCAATTGATATTTTAGATGGGTACTTCATGGTTTACGCTGTTGGTAAATGTTACGCTACGGATTTAACTGACACTGCCAAAAAGTACCAAAAAGGATTAAGGATTCGGCTTCTAAATATCAATTGTACTATGCTGCAACATGTTCGAGCGTTTCTTCTGATTGGACTATTGATACAATTGGTCACAATTTTGATACTGAGACATACGCTTCTAATACTGCAAAAGTAGTTGGATTTTACAATTATAAAGTATCGTTTTATTACGGTGCCAGTTCATGCACAGATGATACCAAAGCCTCCCCAGAATATTACTTTACTTCTTTTGGATGTATAAACATCGATAATAATCATTTCATTCCAAATTTTGATGGCAAAAATGTTTACAACACTTACTACACAGATGAAAAATGTACAACTCTTGACGCTGATCCATATACAACACACCCTGTTGGCACATGTTTTGATTCTGATAAAACTAAAATCATATACACCGCCAACAATTTATATAAGCGTGATTTAGAAGATCGTTTTGAAATTTATATTGAAGGTAAATGCTATATGGATTTTATCAATTCAGATGGGCATAAATATGATATGGTCAAGTCTGATGGATTGATGTACCAAGATGATTCCTGTCAGTTAGTTCATGATTCCACAGTCGCTGCAACTGGAGATGGCTTCAAAGTGACCAAGGTCTCTACACTCCCAGAATATTACTATATGGACCGCTTTTTTGGAAAATTGGATTGCAATGACAAAGCTAATTTTGATGAACCACTAAGTGTTGACTGGTACCACACTAAATTGGCAACATGCAATTCAAAATAATCCCAAAATTTCACTACCACTAAAGATGCTATTACTTTTAATTACTATGACGAAAAATGTGAAACACCAGACACAAAAACACCAAAAAAGTACAAAAGTACAATTATTGCACTCAAGATAACTTGGACCAATATCAGTACTACTTCTATGGAAAAGATTCGAATGCTAATACCGATAACAGTATTAAAGTAATCATTTCTTTTGTTGCAATGATCGTATTGGCACTCATTTGAAAGAAGTAACTCAAATTTGGGTATTTATTTTTTTGAAAACTGCATTATAAATCATTAATTTTTAAAAATAGTGCTTGTTGCCATTTAAAAATTAAAAAAATAAAATAATATAAATAATTTATTTCTAGTTTATATAATAAAAAATATTATAAAAACAATTCCAAAAAATAAGCTTTTTCCACAAGGCCAACTTGAATAACTGTTTGCTTATATATTATATTTAACTGTAATTTGCATCAATATTTCATTCTTGACATTTACGCGATATAGTGCTTAGTTGCATCATCAATCAGCTTTTCACTTAATGGTTATGTAAAGTAAAACATACATTGGTATTGTTTTATTTCCTTGAACTTTTGCGATTTTTTAAAAATGCATTTTGCATGCTTATTAACAATAAAGTTTAAAAAGAACAGGATATCTTATCCACAACAATTTACCATTATTATTCCAATAAGATTAAGTGTCAATCATTTTACTGCCAAGAAACAAATTTTTGAATAAAAACATGCATCGAGCTTTTGTGCTGTTGTAGTGTTCTAACTTAGTACCTCCTCAAGAGAAAGCACAATAATTCCGAGAGATCTATTAAAAATCGACATGTGCATATCCTGATGTTGATAATCACCACAAAAAAAGCACACGAAAATGTCACAACCGCCATTCTTTTTAAGCAAAGACTAGTTTAATTTTATAAGTTTTTTAATGTTTTATTATAATAAGTTATTTTTTGAATAGTTTTGTTATTTTTGAACATCATCAACAAGAACTCATAATGTACATTTTTTAAGTGTTAATTTAGTTGATATTTACAATTAACACAATTAAAATTATTACATTTATCATAAAATTTAATAAAATGTAACATTTTGAAAATATTGTGAAAGGGGACTTAGCACAACGGTAGTGCATTATCAACCAATATCTCGATTTCTAGATAAAAGATGTTGGGTTTGACTCCCATAGTCTCTATTTTTATTATTTTAAATTATTTAAATATTTAATAAGTATAATGCATATCTATTAAAAACGATATGCATTACTTAACAATAATTTACAAGATACAGTATGTAGAGAAATTTGTCTTGCAGTAACTAGTTTGTCTACACTAGGGTGCGCAACCGTTAACTAAATAATTGCTGTATGCCCGTTTTTAACACAAAAACATACTTTGCTTTGATTGTTTTATTTTTACAACTAATCGCGATCTACAAAATCTCGAGATCTGAGATTTTATTTAAAAGATCTGCCTTAACGGCCCAAAAATCAAAGCCAAAAATTTAACAAAAAAAATATTTTTTTTTGTAATAATACATTTTAGTTTTATTTATTACATTTTTACTTTACATCTTTAATGCCAAAATTATTCAACCTTCAAATTGAAAATACAATTTTGCGCTTTTTACCACCACAAATAAATGACTCTATTCAATATTTCCGACAAATTTATGTTATTTTTATTCACTTAATATTTTGATAACAATAATTATTTCTATTATTGTTGACATTTAAAAACAAGAAAAAACAAGCCAAAATATAAGTACGATCAGTATTTGGGATATATTGGTACTTGTTAAATCACAACAAATCTTCTGATTAAATTAAATAAACTGTTTAATAATACTTTTTTATTCTTTTATATACAAATATTCTGTTTGATTATTCTCATGATATAAAAAGTTGTTTGACAACTTTTTTGTTTTCATGATGTTAATTAATAATCAATAAATGTTGCCAATAAAATTAATAATAATTCGAGTTGAAGTTATAACCACCAAAACATTTGTCACATTATAATTTAATTTTCATTATAATCCATTATTATTGATGAAAAATAAACAAAACCAAATTTCTTTACTTAATAACAATTATAAATTTCTCTGTAACTTTCTTTTGTTACAACAATTTGTTGTTTTTAACTCGTTGATAATTATATACAATTCAATACCCACAAAAACAAAACAACATTAATCTCTTGTGGCCGTAAGTTGTTAAAACATATAGAGATGTAATAATCTTAATATAAAGTTTCAACAATTGATCATATATGTTTTTATTATTCATTTTTATTACCACATACAAACTGGTATTTTTAAATAAGAACTTATTGTCTTTTTTTTAATTACTTAAATGAATAGAATGTCAAAGTCGTTTTTATCTATAATAAAATACAAATCACTCATATCATTTTATTAAAAAAAATAATTGTTAATTCACACGTTCTTTGTGTTTATCATGTTTATGACGATACTGTTCATATAGCGTTATTTAATAATGTCTAATTGTTTTAAGGGCCAATTGTAATTTAATTATTTTGTTGCTTTTATTGTTTTAACAATTTTTATAATTTAATTAAAAATGAAAAAACAACAATGTGTTGTTATACCAAATTATAAAATTTGCTGTCATTTTTTATTTATTAACTTTCTAAAGACTCTAAAAACCAAAAATCTTAGATATTGTGTAATCTTAGTTATTTTTCAAGTAAATGAGACTTTTATTTCTTAAATTACTCCAACTTCCCTGGGACGACTGAGCTAGTAAAATTTTATAGTTAAAAAATTATAAATTATAATAAAAAATGAACCTTTTGTTAATATGGGGACGAACAAAGGTTCACTTTTTAGCTTGATCCTTTCGAAATCTAGTCAATATTTAATGGAAAAGTCAGATCAAAATTTATAGAGATGACCACAATTTATAACAATATTTAAATTAATTACAGTGCCTAAAATGGGTGGGCGACTTTTAAAGTATTAGGGCGGAAACAGTAAAAATTATGAAGCTCCTGTTTTTTCCTTAATTCGAAATAAATGTTATAGTTTTTTTGTTTTATAAAACACAAAATTTATTATTGTTTTTAATAACACAAAATCTTTTAATAACACTTTGTAAAAATAGCAATTAAAAATATAATATTAATCTGATTAATATTTTCAAGTTCCAAAAAATAAATACGAATTCTTCTTAGGCTTATCTTCTTAGGCTTTTCTTCTTTAGTATTTCTAAAAGGTGGTTAAACGAATTTTAATCCACAAAACAAAACAAACCTTGTATCTATGTTTTTTTGTTATATTTATTGTTTTTTAAGTTCCAGTTAAGAATAAATGGTTTTTGATTTTACTATATTCAATTATAAAAAATATTTAAGAAAAAATCAATTAAAATTCAGTTTTTTATCATTTCTGGAATCCATATGTTCAAGAACTCATCGTGATTGAACAGCTTATATTCAATATCGTTGTTGTGGTATTTTTCGATTGATTCCATCACTCTATATCCACATTCAAAACCATTTGGTTGAATTGGAACTTGAATTTTTTTAACATCATTTATTTTGAATTCAAATTTCAAAAAACTGATAAATCCTTTTTTAATATCATTATCATCAATTTCTTTGTCAAATGAATCAACGTATAAAATCAAATTTTTAATATAATCAACAATATAAAGAACCCAATGATAGTCACAAAGAAAAGGAAAGTAGTAATGTTTGGAATTTAATTTCTTTTGTTTAATAATATAAGATGGTTTACTAAAAAATACTTGTGATGTATAACCATCAAA